CACACACACACACACATGCTTGCAGCGATGCCGTCTTGCATTCAGAGTTCAGTGCGTGTCATGGAAAATTGGGCTGAAGGCAGAGCCGGTTGCTAAGCGACGTCTTTGCCATATATGGTACTTTTTTTTATTTTTTTTTTCTCCTCGTCTTGTTCTCTTTTTTTTTTTTCTACACACAGACAGTATCTACTCTGTCGCTGACATTTGAATGTTAGATGTAAATTCCTACAAATGTCTGCACAGCCAACAATGCATAATTTATTACCAGATTAACTCCACTCCCGTATGATTAATATTTTGCCCCGAAACACCGTGAGACATTCAGTGGAACAGAAAAACAAGAGGAAAATGAGAGTAAGGCGGCAAAACATGGTACAGACAGACACAGAAACTTTGAACTCGTAGCCTACACGTGATGTTTCTGGTTATTTATGCATGCTTATTCACATGAGCCACAATTGCAGACTTGTTTTCCACGGCAACCGTTATTCAATAAAGTCCCACTCATCACTCCCACAGCACTTATACACAAAATCCATGCTGGAAAGCAAAAGACATACAGTCATACAGTCACGCTGTTTGTTTGTTTTGTTGGATTCATGTTTCTTGTCGGTTATATCATTTACTATATCACAATATAAATCAACACCACAGGCAGGAAGTATTTAGATCATTTACATAAGTACGAGAGCAACAATACCACATTGTAAAAATACTCCTTTACGAGCTAAAGTCCAGCTTTTGAAAAGTTTGAGGATTTAACCAGCAAATAACTTGTATTTTTATCTTGATAAACGACATAAATATACATATTACTGAACATTACAATTATTAGATAGAGAAGAAACACTTAAAATAAATTATAGTCAGTATTGTTCCGTAATATCATTTCATCTAAAGTCTCTTTTACTAAAGATGGTTCTCGGTGATATTTCAGAGCCGTGCCATCTTCTGTACGTTGAGTGGTCCGCCACAGCTGAGCTGAACTCTAAAAACTTGAGTTAGGGGAAAGGGATGTGGTTTTTATATAAACTAGTTTTGAGAAAAGAGCTTTGACAGTAGTACCTGAAAACACACTGTAGTGTACATAGTCGTCTGACGGGTTCTGCTTTGTCTACACACACACACACACCTCTGGAAGCTACATAGTACTGAGGAATTTGTCATGCAGATAAAAGGAGTGTACTGGGAGGGTATGGGAAGGCCTGTTGTCCCTACCCCCATGTTGCCAGTCGGTCATGAATCTGGCAGGAGATTGGCTCAGCGTGGGGCTCAGGATAGGCCCTGTAGGGGATTAGGGGATGAGAGAGAGAGAGAGAGAGAGAGAGAGAAAGAGAGAGAAGTACAAAGGTTAGACAGAAGAGAAAGAGAAGACGGCTCATTGTGTGGAGGTTTGTACCTTTAGGGAGAGAGAGGAGGTAAAAGGAAAGGAGGCAGGTCCAAACAGGCAGACAAACATGACAGCTTTAGGTTCGCAGGTATGTGGATGTGCTCGATGACCGCAAAGAAGATATCACATATTGAGTAAGTGTTCAGAGAGGAAGGGAGGAGTGACAGGATGTCGAAACAGGAGAAATTGTGAATTGGGATAAAACAAAAAAACAAAAAAACCAGGTTGTATATACGGAGAGAGGGGGTCAGTGTGAGAAACAAGTGTGAGCTTACAACAGAGGAGGATTATTTACCAGGCAACACAAGCCTCAGTTTACAGCAAGGGTTTACGGGCCGAATGGAGCTAAATAACTGCAATAAGACAGAGAATGAGCTCTGCGCTAACAGTGGACTCTTTTTAAAATAAAAAGAAGGTTATAAATGAGTGTGAAGGATCTCAGGCCACCAGGGAAGCACACATCCCTGGTAGTGCTTGCCCGAGGAGAACCTGTGCTGATGGTGCGAAGTATTTTGTGCTGGCTGCGTTCCCGCTTCGTTTCGGGGGCCGTGTGTGCTTGTGTCAGCGCCTTCCTCCTCCTCCACTATTGCTCTGTCTGCCAGGTAAGAAATAGAAAGTGGCAAATCCTCTCAAGGGCAACTGATATAGATTTAAATTCATCCTGCCATAGGCCCTGTGGCATGTATGTATTCGTTAACGTCATGCTTTTTCAGAAAGATGATATGAGGGCAGATCATATCAAATGCAGGTGACAGGTTTGGGTATTCAAATGTAACGTGACGGTCTGTCGTCGCTGCTGTGTGTATGAGTGTGTGGCGGTTTGTTTGGCACACAGTATGCAGTTAGTCCTGTGTGGCCGTGATGATCTCTCTATCTGGGTTAAGAAGCCAGTAAGTCAACCAGCAGGATCAACATACTTCAGGCTGCAATATTATGCAATCAGTTCATTTCTCAGATTTGAATTGTGTACTCTGAGTTGCAGGTTTATTAGCTACACCCGACTAAAACTATTATTTATATCGAGAGGTACTGCGCCACAAACTGGAGCCTCTAAACTGACCTTTAAGTTGAATCAACGCCTGTCTGAAGCAGTTTAATCAAAAACTTAATAATAATAAACTGGCAACTTTTTAATGTTTGTGTTTTAACATCTAGAAATATTCTTGAACCAGCTGATCAACAAAATAACCCCCTGTCCTTCCAGTATAGTTCAGCTTATGTTGACGTTAAAAGCTTCAATGTAAGTTTAAGATTATAATACTAAACAGAAGAAACTTTAAGCAGTATTTGTGTCATTCTCACAGTTAATACTCAGTTGTTTGGTTACAGGTTATGTAACATTTAGGTATTATGAGTCACCTGGAATGAAAACTAACTCAGAAGAAAGAAAGTAGTTTCCACTCTATTTATGTTTTGCTGTCAAGTTACTAAATAGTTTTTAAAAAAAATCACTTAATAAATGCCCTTTATTGAAAGCTAAACTCGTTATAACAGTATTTAGCGCAAATAACTAAGATAACTATTGGTTTCAAAAGCAATATTTAAGCACATTTATACTTCTAAAAATACATTTATTCTGATGGATGTCCAGCCTTGCTCTCAGCCTGTGTATTGGGAAGATGAAGAGGGGAAGGGGTGACTGTAAAGACACATTGTGTGTGACCATTGTTGTTGTTGTCATGTGAACAACCACAGAGGGACCCCGGCGGAGGTATGTGTGCGTCTGTTAATTCATAACAGGTACCAGAGACATTCCCAGCATGCCAACCTCAAAAATCCCGCAGAGGAGGCCAACAAATATCACAGGGATGGTGAGTGAAGAAGGGAAAGTGTTTAGCAACAGAGTGCATTCATTAGGATCAAAGCTTTGGGGAAATGAAGAGGAAGCTTACAAAACAAAGAATGATGACATGAACTCTGCGTGCTATATATTCGAGAGTTATATAAAAGAGAAAGTGGAGATGGTGAAGGTTGGATTGTGAGAGGTGAAATGTGACCTTGGTGTTCAAAAAGCTCGGATGTGTGGGCTGAAGCAAGAGGACGAGACCGAAACACACTAACAGTTTGCTCGGTTTGAAATGAAACAACAGTCCCGTCTTTTTTTTTTTCCTTTTAACGTGTAATCTGTCGTGATTTTCTGTATTTATCATTTTTGAAAAACAGCTCCGTGTCCAGCAGAACATTAGCGGCAGTATCTCCGTCTGTGACTGGTAATTTTAGTCCGATATACCGATATACCTGACCCCCCACAGAGGAACCACATTAAGCTGTCAGCTTGAGGCAATTAGAGAGAGAGAGTCTGATGGCATGTGAATAGGAGAAGTGAAAGAATAGAGGTTGGAGGTATGGGTGTCTGCTTCACCTTCCTCTGCCTTCAAACCCGCCCCCGGACTTGCATCTGTCACCGAGGCCTCTGTCAGACAGATGGAGCTAATAATAAGCTGAATAAAAAGAAGCTGATGTTATTGTGGTCTAACGTGTAAACAAGCTTTGTGTTTTGTCCACAAACTGATGTCATGTCAGGAGATTATTTTTGGACTGCAGTGATGACGGTTTCTTAAAACGAATCTATGTCAGGTTACAATAACAAGAGCACTGAATGTGGGCATACAGGCAGGAAACATCCGTTTTGGGGTGTTTCTATTATACACAGAGCATCCATACTGTAATAACACGATCTTACTTAATATCAAACAATAAAAAAAGACATGCAAACACACCGATCAAGACTAAAAAAAATGCTTCCTGCATTACCTTAAATGTCAAGCACACTTGTGTAAATTTACAAAAAGATTACCCTGAGGTAAACATGTCGGCAGTTCTGTCTCCTCTATTCAGAGGTGAGGAGAGGAAGAGCTGAGTGTTAGAGACTCCTGTGTTATGAACTTTACATAACAGGTTCATAATTATCCCTTACAGCAGCACTTTGGAGGCCAACCACTGGCGACAGTTTTACTGGACTGGAGCGTCTGAAGGTGGATGATGTCTTTCATGTGGTCTAAGGTTGAGCTGATATTTCTTATCTGCGTTTGAATACAACTGTCTTGATGCATATAGGGAAAGAGGATACAGGGTGGAAAGGCTTGGAAATTAGCTTCAGTTACATGTGAGGAGTAATTTCAGCTCCTCAAGAGTGTAAAGTCATGGTTGCAGTCTAACATAGTTCTACATAAAGGTATGAATGAAGGTATGCATGAACAAAAGACACATCCAAACAAGGGATACCAGGGTGGGGTGGCAGAGAGACTTTCAGGTGGAACTATTCACTGGCAAGAAGTAAACGAACTAAGACATCAGGAAATCCGATAAGGCACATGACGAGAGAATCTGATCTAGGGCCGCTTCACAAAAGGTGTGTGAAACGTGGCAGCGTCCCGCTTGTCCCGCCTGTTCATGCATGGCTCACAAGCACGGCGTCTGGTTTGATTACTGGAATGTGTCAAAACGAGCGAGAGGAAATGGTCTTATGTCACAAGTTGTAGCTCCATGTTGCAAATGTGATGAAATGCAGTTGGTGTTCACATGTTTTCATCAGCGCCCTTTACCCTGAAGAAGCAGAGGTTATGTCGGAGTTAATCTGTTGATGCGATTGAAAGCTCAGGTTGTACTCACTCTCATTACTCTCTTGTGTCTTTCTGAAATCCTGACATTGACCAGCTGTCTGAAAGAGCACAGACCTGCCGTACACCGTTTCCCATCATTAGGAACCAACAGCGGAGCACAGCTGTCGCTGCAGCCGGAAAATCTTATTGTCTCACTTCTTTATTTCAAATCTGGACTATAATCACATTTTTAAAAGGTTAACATTTGTTATATAATAAAATCACCTGCACTCTGTCTACATTATGTGGAACAGGTAATGTTTGTTAAATATTTAGGCACATAAAACCTAAAATATCCTTCATGTTCAGTGGTTGAGTGTGATTAAACTCTCACTGTCATTAATGTATACACTTGCAAAAACAAAAAGGGGCAAATTACCTAAACATTGTGCAAGCTCCTGTCTCAATTCTGGACTGTAAAATGGTCAGAGAATCATTTTTCACCTTTTTGAGTTGCAAAACAGTACTCTTTAAACCCAGATAGATCCTGTTTTTCTTCTTCTAAGTTAAACAGATCCGCAGTTTTGTGTGTGTGTGTGTGTGTGTGTGTGTGTGTGTGGTATGAATGAATCAGGG